CTTACATACACTCAAACCTGCTATTAATATAATGATTGGTAATTGTGATTTGGTGGTGGAGTTTAGAGTTTTGTTGAATAAAATCAATGGTGCTTACTTCCTTTTCAGGGAGGCCTTTGGATTCCTAGTGAAGGTGTAGCAACGTCCAGTGATGTTTGTCAGTCATTGGCTAAAGGAGCGACCTTAAATGGTACAGAAACATGTTAGAGTCATTAATGATGGAAACTTACACCAAGAAATAAATGAAACACTCCTAGATTCTACAATTTTAAGATACAAGTTTGTGAATCTTGTCAGGAGGATTTTAACCCTTTACACGCTAAGAATGATAAGAGTCTAAATTCTCCCAAAAGTATCACTCTGGATTAAAAATTAAGTTGATGAGAGTAAAGGAAATGATCACAAGTTCTTGATTGTTAGACAAATTATCCTTGGAAGTACTGTCAGAGAATATGTATGCTGAGGTTAAGGTGTTAAGCGTTAACCCTTTCACTGCCATGAGTGACCAAGACAGAATATCTCCTTAAAATATCAATACAATATCAATTAAGCAAACAAGTGATGAGAATACAGAAAAATATCACAAAGGGGATTTTAGTTAATTCAATACCAAATTCTCCAAACTTACATGATAAAAATTGTATGGCAGACAGTAAGGAGAATTACTAATGAGATCTTGGAAGTGAAAGGGTTAAAAGGAGACTGATGCTATCAATTTAAAGGTCACTTATGGGAATGACAGTTAAGAGTTCATTCCAATATTGACTAGTTTTCCCAGTTGTGATGTGTAGAAGAATTTGAAAATACTTGTAAGGGGAGCAAGGCACTGTGAGTGCCGAGTATCTGGTCAAAAATTACAACAAAATGACCCTGTCATGGCACAAATCGAGACCTCTTGACCTTGGATACTAGGTACACACTGTTAGGCCCACCATGTATCCAACACAGTGGTACAGAAATGTATTTTTTTCATCAGGGGTCAAAATTTTTGAAAAAGTTGCAATAGAGTCCATTATTACAGATGGGAAATCTATCACTGGTGTGAAAACAAGTAATGGAACTGTTAAGTGCGAGATACTGGTCAACTGTGCTGGTCAGGTAAAGCAATTGGGTAATAATTGTTCAAATAGCCTTCCAGGACAAACATATTTGTATGTTTTACTACAATTCTGCACAATAGAAAGTTGACTGTTTGGTTTGCAGAAGTATGGTGAGGTTATCATTTAGAACATTTGCTTTGGTTCTAGAGTTTGTTTTTTCTCATAATTTATTTATAGTTTTCCAATTTAATGGAAAGGTAATTGAATAAATTTTCAGTAATATAGGCTGGCACCTTGCTCTCTGAAGATTAATCTAACATCAAACTCTGAGAATTGTGAACACCAAGAATATTTCTGGAATGTCATTCTTTCAAGACGAATAACCCAATTAGAAATAAATAAATAATGGATTTTCTGGTTTTCTCAGGGTGCCTTTTTGTTTCAGGTGTGATTGGTCATATGGCTGTAAGTATTGTAAAAGTATTTCAAGTGTGCAGTACAGTCTGAATTAATGAGCCAAATGTTTTCTTTTTCTCTCTATATGAAATGCAGTGGGCATGGGAGTTAGGACAGGTAAGAGACCCCAAGATTTCTGAATCAGGATATTACCTTGGCCTATCCCTCTCAAGATCTACATATCAATTCTATACATTTTCTGGCTTACATCTCTTTAATTAACAGCTCAGAGAATTTGTTGCTGATATTTCTCCTCCACTTCATTATCTATCTCCTTAAAAAGTGGTCAACTAAGTGAGGAAAACTCCTCTGTGGTCTCCCCTGGATATAAAATGGTTAATAGGTCACCTTTTCAAGCTCTAGCTGTAATTTGTTTTTCTTCTTTTTTTAAGTATTAACCAATTAGTCCCTGGTGACCAGCACCTAATTTCTCCTTACAACATCACACCTGTATCACACATTAAGGTCACAAGAGTAAAGTAAATGATCACCAACTAAAGAAGCTCTTGATTGTTAAACAAACTCTCCTTCTAACACACAACTGGGAGCCATGCCAAGCCGACCAAGCAGCCCGACCTTTATTATATCAACACGATGAACCATTAGGGTTACAACACTAACAAAACAGCCGAAACTGAGCCTAGATACAGAAGATTGACATGCACAAATAACTGGAACTGAGGCACTACTTGAAATCCTATATCC